AAAAAATCCAGAAGAATGTTGCGGTGTTTGTGTTTAGTACGAAAAATGAGCATTTTTGCTGCTGGAAAGTAAAATCCAAATGTTTTAATTTCGAGGGCATTTCAGCAACGCTTTTCGGTGAATTTGTGGGCTGGTCTTTCGAGGAATCATGTGGTTTGTCAATAATATCAACTAATTTCAACATAACGTGACTCCCTTTCTAAAAAGTACATCTTTCTGTTAATTTTGCATTAAAGTAGATAAAAAAACTTTCTGGTCTCACTCTCACTTGCTTCTTTGTTTCATAACGATAACGCACTAGTTTTCAAGCTCTAAAATTCATTTATCGGTTTGTTAATCTGTATCAGATCGAAGAAAAAGTTGAGAAGGAACAATACCTGTGAAGAAGTCGGTTCATCAGGAATTTCCAGAATGTTTCAAAATAATTTTTGATAATTGTTGATAATAATTAACGATTCTGTCTCATTATACTCGTGTACAACCTCTTATGCGAGAAAAATACTGCAAACTAGCAGGTAATTTCACCCACAAATTAATAAATGTCAAACTAAAAATTCCAGTAGACCAGCTATTTAATGAAAATTCTGGGAAAATTGGTATTATTTTCGTAACCTAGCAACGCATATAATTTTTCAATCACACCTTGAAGTGCCCTTCTGGGATTGGTGGATTTAAGAGTCTAATAACTCTCTTATGCAAGCAAAAATTACTTCTTCGGCTGCACTTTTTGGCGACCTATTGCCGCCGGCATTTGACATTTTTCTCTGGGGCGCGAGGTCTGGCGCACCTGTTTATCATTTTGTACGTCTCAGTGAAACAAATCAAATGCACTAAAAAAAAATTAAAAAAGTCCACACACTTTGAATTAAATAATTCTTTTCGAATTTAAATGAATTTGAAATACTTTAACTTTAAAAAATCATTACTCAATAACTGAACTTGCCTTTTAGAATGATATTCAATGTGAAATTGAATATTGGCAAACTTTTCTTCGAACAGTGTTCGAAGAAGTTCGAAGTAAATCAAAATAATCTAAGAAAAACCCTACGAATATTTTTTTTTCATCATTACCATCGTGTAGAGCATCTCTTTATTAGTTGTAATCTAAATTTTCTAAAGAATATACCCGGTAGATTTCATGATATAATTTTTTGAAGTTAAGGTTTTTTAATCAAGCATTGCTCCATATAAGAGAAACACATGTTTTAATCTTACTTAAAATTGCATTTTTATAAAAGTATTTGCTTTTCTTTTGCTTAAAAATGGTCAACTGCACCTTCTTTGTTCTAATTAGAAAAAGCATAAACTGTTTGTTTACTTAAAACAAATAAAGAGTACCTGCATACTAAATAAAGCAAATAAAGAGTTTTTTTGTTGTAAAAATGACCACTTTGGAGTGATGTTACGAGTAAATGCAATAAGTCACCTGATTTATTTTGTTTGTACATTCTACGATTAGCTTCAGTTAGCTTGTAGGTAGTAGTTGTTGTGATAACAGTTGCACACGAAGCAACTGACTTATTGCATTCAACATCAGTAGAAAGTGATGAGAAAGCATTTGCTGAAAACATTTTCAAAAAAAAGTTCAGAAAGCTAGAACAAAGTGAACAATTTGGAATCTGTGGAAAGTGATTTAATTTGAAAAAGATTTGTTCTTATATTTAAAGCTATTGCTTTAAACTTCTAGATTCTTTTTGCTCCATTGAGCCAAAGTGATCATTTTTAAAACAAAGAAACTCTTTTTTTGCTTTAATTAGTACGCAGGTACTCTTTGTTTGTTTTAAGTAAAGAAACAGTTTTTGTTTATTCTAATTAGAACAAAGAAGGTGCAATTGACCATTTTTAAGCAAAAGAAGAGTCTTAAAACAAATACTTAAAATGCAATTTTAAGTAAGATTAACATGCATTTCTCCTATATGGCGCAATACCTGAATAGCAAATCTTACTTATTCGGTATATTATTTTAAAAATTTGGATTCTTACTAATAACTCTATACGATGGTGACAAAGAAAAAAAATTTACTCGTAGGGTTTTTCTTAGATTACTTCGATTTACTTCGAACTTCTTCGAACACTGTTCGAAGAAAAGTTTGGCAATATTCAATTTCAAATTGCATATCATTATAAAGGGCAAGTCCATCCCTTTATAATGGTCTTTATTTGAAGGAAATCGGCCTAATAGTTATTGAGTAATGATATATTTTTAAAGTTAAAGTATTTAAATTTAAATTAGAAAAAAAATCATTTAGTTGAAAGTGTGTGGACTTTTTGATTTTTTTTTATTGCATTTGATTTGTCTCACTGAGACGAACAAAATGATATAAAATTTGTCAAGTTGTCACGACTTGACTTTTTTAGTGTGTTAGTTAATAACACTATCCCTAATGATCAGCCTCCTTAGCCACGTGGAAAAAGGTCAATGCCCAATTTTTTTTTGTAATAATAATAATAATAATAATAATAAGAAACGAGTATCCGAAAAATAGGATAGAATTTGGTCGGATGAGCCCGCGTGTGCGAGAGTGGCGCGCCGCGGTCGTCCAGTGCACAATCTGCAAGCATTAATATTTATTGCCCACTTTAATCTCTGTCACGTACGTTATCCGAATGCGGCTTACGACTTGTCTTTGATAATTTTAATTTTGAAAAATTATTTCAAGTGTTGTTTTGCGTACATTATTTCGTTTTAGTACAACCGTCAGACTGCAAATGAACAGAATAAATTAGAAGCCTAGACATGATGTTGGCTGATTATTACGAAACCCCACAGCTTCCAATTAAAAGGAGAAACAGCAGGTGAAACAAATCACACAATCACTTCTACCGACGGAGTATTTATATTTAGTTCTAATTATTTCATTTCGCCATTAAAATCCTGACGATCGGTTTAAACTTTAAACCGCGACCGAATTAGAAAGGTGATATTAATTGACAGGAGTGATTCTTGATAAAGTTAAGAAAATCGCACTCGAGCACGTTGGTTAACCAGACGATAACCTCTATGTTTCCTTTTAAGCCCTTTTAATGTTTGTCTTGTGTTCCTTGTGTTTTCTTCAAGAAGACTACCAACCGCGTTTCCGGGTTCGTGCTTGTAATAAGTTTTTCGGGGGTAAAAAGTATGCTTAAATGGTGTTTATTTACCTGGAACACAAGTCTGTTTGTTAATAATTAATAATTAAATAATTAAAAAATTGCTATTAGGAATCTAATATTTATAGTTTCTCAGATGTAGACTGTCTTAGTCGCCGAAATAATTTAAATTTGACGCGCAGCCTTAAACTTCACCAATAAAAATTGTAACCAAATATGATCTATAAGACTAACTTTTCAAAATCTATTAGGTACATTATTTTAGAAAAAATGTGTTAAAATTAGCAAAAACAGCCACAAAAGGACCCTGCTCATATTAAAAAAATATTGATCTTTTTTTACCAACGATACCACCAAATTTTGGTAGCTCTAATATGTATCACTATTATCACTTATAATTTCACGAGGGCTTTTTTTTCGAAGTAAACTTGACATTTTAATGAGAATTTTGTTTTCTGACAAAAAAAAACTCCTTCTGAAAAAATTACGAGTCCGTAGGACGAGTAATTTTTCTGGCAGTTTTTTGAGTTAAATTGCCTAAAAGAAACAAAACTCGAATCAAAAATGTCAAGTTTTCTTCGTAAAAAAAAAGCTTGAGTGTAATTCGGAAAGACAATTTAATGAATAAATCCGATGATGCAGACCCACTAGAATAAGACGCTTTCAAAAATTAGGTTCCGTTTTGTCGCTGTAATAGTTATAGGACAAACTTTTGTCGCTGTCATAGTAACAAAAACACCGCGGCTTATGGAATTTTTAGTGTATGAAAAAAATTGTTTGGAATAAAGTTTTCAAATGATGTAAACTTTGTGTATATTGAGGTTTTTAAATTTTTATCAAATCTCACGCTAAAATGGAAGTTACACTATCTATAACTGATGAGAAACTATAACTATTAGCATAAGGCAAGTTGAATTTTTTTTTTTATTTAAACTTGTACTAAGTATCACTTTTTAAAATTTCTGCATAACTATTAAAATCACCCGTACACTTCTATTCACAAAAAAAGCGTACACGTATTGAGGACTATTGTAAATGGGATATATTAATTAATCGTTTCCAAGAAAACGTATTACTGACATTTTGTATGTCAAATATGTGAAAATTGCTTTCAATTGCTATTTACAATTGAATTATACCACGACACACAATACCATTAACAAGAGCGTGATCATTACCTACTAATAAGTTGGAAGATGGGTGATCTAGGTATAAAAGAACTGAAGCAATATTTTAAAGAAGTCCCGACCACAACTACACGAGGCCGTATGGCAAGAGCAGTGTCTAATAAACTGAATGTCAGGCTATTGCAAACGAACTATGGAAAATTGTGGAAAATAAATATATGGGAAAGTTTAGTCCAGGCACTTGTTTACTCAATGTTCCGTAGACTAATTGAAGTGAACGCAAAAAGCGGCGCGATGACCAAAGATTAGAATGGTTTGCTAAAATTGCATTTTTTGCAAATTTGTGAATAAAAGTTTATGAATTGTGTTTGTCGTAATCGATAATGGTTGCCTAAAAAGGCAAACAATTTAAACACATTAAAATCTCTGAAAAATACAACGATAAAATCCAGCTATCAGCAAGGTTTTAGTTCCAGGTTTCTAAGTAACAACAATTAAAAGATAAGTTTACAATATGACAATTCAGCCAAACTTGGGCTCACTACTACGCTTTTTTTTTGAATAGAAGTGTACAAACATTAAAAATTTCAAATGAAACAGCCTGTTTGTTATTATGCAATATTCTTAAGTGTATGGTTAACAGTTTTTTCGTTTTCGATTTCTATGCATATTTGTGTCAAAGTGAAGTCATCAATTCCGCGTTATTGTTCTTGTAAGAATTCAGCGGCGGTATTTTCTGGAAAGTATTCTTCCAATCCATCACAGCTGTCGATGGGTACTTACAATATATTTCGATGGACGTTGTGGCCGACACCGGTTGACTGATGTTGTTGTTGGAAGCTTGGCATGTAAAAGCGGCGTGCTGATCGGCCCTTCGCAAGCCTTTGATGACGAGTTGGTTGGAGCGCACATTCTGAAATCCACTGCGGGTCTCCGTCGATTCTATAAGCTTCTCACCACGCCACCATTTTATTGTCGGCTCCGGTTTGCCTGGAAATTGCAAATTGGACACGTTATTTAGGACGTTTTCTACTATCCTTTCTCGAATTTATCCGAATTAGAGAAAACAACTTATAACTTGGTTTCTCTGTCTCCAAGGTTGCTCAGGTCAATTGCTACAAAAATGTATTTGCTGGTAGACTTGGCCAACTTGCGTAAGATCAAGTGCCCAAGGCGGGTAGTTGTCTTACTTTTTATTAAAAGTATTCTCTTGTTCAAAGTTTTTAATCGCAAACAAACTTATTTCACTTTTTTCAAAACTAAATTTTAGTATTTATTCATTTTAACTTGAGACGCTAAGCCTTGTTAGTTCTGTTGACGGTAATGTGAACATGGCTGGAGTGTTTTATTATTTAGTAAAATTTTACGTCACTAATGGTTAACTCCACGTAATTCAATTATTTTTCTTTCTATATCTGTTGGTTTTTTACGAAAATAAATATAATGTTTTAATATAAACTTGGAAGAAGAAAAATCGTCTTGTTTTATTTCGGCACTTGATAAATTCAGTGCAAAATAAAAGCGATTGAAGTTTGTGTTGTCAGCGACACTTGCCGAGTTAAAACAAGGAAATAAATTACTTTTAAACTTAGTCTAACGGGTCTCATATGTAAGAGAGAATGGAAAACAAATAAAAAACGAAAAGAAGAAAAGTGCTAAAGGTTCAGTTCACTTTGGAATGCAAAACGGAACCAAGAAAAGACTAGTGGAATAAAAGAGAAAAATACACGAGAAACTACCAGCTTTAAGCACTTTAAAATGTATTCACTATCGAATTTTATGTCCTGAATGTTTTCAGACAATCAACTTAAAATAGACCGTATAATATAAATTTTATAATTCAGGTTTTTTTTATATAAAAAATTAAAATAAAAGGAGAGCTTTTCGGAAATCTCGGTTTTCTCAAAGTGCTTTTATAATAATAAGATTTAACTTTGCTAAGTGGCTTGCTCGGGAACTCTTGGTAATTACAAGAATTGTGGAGAAAAATAAACATTTTCAGTTCGCGGAAAAGCCAATAACAATGAGTTTTATTACAATACTCCAAAGTCCTGTCTATTGTATCTTTATGTTCATTTCAAATAAAATCTAATTACAATACATGAGGCAAAAGATGTTTATACAAATTCTACTACCGTTTATTAAAACCGATTATTAATATTTTAGTGGCCTGTTATCACAAAATGGCAGCTCATGAGCAATCTTAGAGGGTGTTCATTTCAAATGTATTAATCACTTTGTTATTAAATTTTGGGATGCGTTTAATTAATGTACTTTCAAAAGATATTATGGATAGTGCCAGCTTTTTTATTGTAATCTCTGGCATCGACCCACCCTATTCTTTTAAATTAAGTATTCTTTTAAAAAAGTACGAAAAAAATCCTTACGTTATTGAGGTTATGGTTTACATCCATCATGGTAATATGTATAATGTGGGTACAGGGTGTTTCATTTTGGATGTCCGAATAGGGAATCTCCAAAACTAAGAAGTTAGGCAAAAGTGAATATACAGTATGTCCCCGGATTGAGTTTACAAAAGGAAACATTTTTTTATCTTTGATTTTACGCCAAAACTGCAAAAGGAATAGTATATTAAAGTACAAGTTGCAGAAGGTATCTCTTCAAACACAAATTTAAAATTCCGAAACGAGACGCGTAGCGGCAAGTTGAGGAACAAATTAGTGCTTGAAGAACCTTCTGCAATAAGTGCTTTATACTATTTTTTCTATTTAAATTTTTTTTTTTTAGAGAATTTTGCGACGGCGACGGTTGGCGATATTTATTTTATAGGAGGCTGTAAAAAATGAAAATAATTCATATTTTCACATTTGAAAATGAATTGTGAGGAATGTCCGTCACTAAAATTAAATTAACGCCAACGACTTATTCCAGCACTCAAATGACGTCATTTGGGTGCTGGAATAGACTTATTCTAACACCGACATAGAAAAATACACCTAAAACGATCAAACCTGTACTTAAAACTTCATTATTCTGATTCAGTGAAAATAAAAGTTAATTTTTCTCTCGATTTTCGACTTAAGAATAATTTTTCTCTGCTTTTTAAATCCTATCACATTGGCGGTTTTATTTATTTGACAACTATATGTTATGTAAATGACTTTGTTTTTTGTCTTAAAGCTGTTTCTTTGAATTGCTATTTATGTTTTTCCAACCAAAATACATTCTCAAAGATACCTTGGCTTTTAGTGCTTTTACGTTATTGCGTTTGCAAAATTTAATTAATTTTAAATAAAAGTGATTGTTGATATTTCATGCATTAAATTTGACAGTGTCATCAATTCTACTTTTTCGCCTTGAATTCGAAATGTAGGTCCTCAAACGACAAATAAAGCCACAAAAATACTGTGGCCAAATCTGTACCGTATGGGGAAAACTCTCTTGAGGCTAGTATGTAATACTTTCTATATCATTATAAGCCCTATAAAAACCTAATGCCAGGAAGAAACTTTTTTTTTTTTGACTCTAGTAGGTACCAAAGTCAGAAGTTGCCAAACATCAAAAACAGACACAGGTTATGTGTTCTTGATTTACACTTCCCCTACTATCAAATTAAAAAAATGGACTTTAGACTACTTTTAATTTTCAGTTATGATGTTACCTAGTAACTAATGTTACCAGTTGATATGTGTACCGTAAGTTGCCAAAAAGCATATTGTTTACCCGAGTAACCTGCTAAAAGTTTTTTTTTCTGTTTCGTATCAACTCTAAGTATTGGTTAAAATTCTATTCATAGAATTCTTTTGAAAGTGTGTTTATCGATCCAGACTAGCAGTATAAGGATCGAATAATAAGCACAGCTCTTTGTGGTAGTCCCACTAGTCAATGATTGTTTTCAACGCACCCTAATCCGTTAAGCTATACTACATTTTAAAAGCTTTAGCAATAGAAAAACATATAAATGTTGGTTAAAATATTTTATTTATTATTGTAAATGCTTATTATAATTAACGGGACTAATTTTCATAATAGCTGAGAGATAGAATTTCTGAAAACATGTATGTATTGCAATAATTGTGTTATTCAGTCAACATGTTGAAATAACAGGTAATAAATTAGTTTGCTTTGCAATTCAGTTAATATCGAGAGAGTCGAAATAGTTGCCACTTCCCTGTGCAAATTTGCAAAAATTGAGTTGTGTAAATCCGACTTTAAACATCCAATTGTTTTTTTAGGAACATTTCTATCAAAAATGACAATTCTGAAAAAGGTGGGTTAAAACACTTTACATATAAAACCTACTGCGTCTGTCACAATTGTTGACACAATTTAGTTACTTCAGCTACCAACATAAACACAACCCACATTAAGGTGGCGGGCTAGGGGTTGCCAACTTTGTAATAAATTAAATGGCGATTTTGAATTGACCACGACTTGGCAAGTTTTTTTCGTGTTCTTTTTGAAATAAAAAGTTAATGGGAAACTATTTATCGGTTGTCTGAAAGTAGAAATTTACACAACCTCTTTTGGCACATTAGCTCCGCGAGAAACAGTGTCGAATTTGTAACTCGCTCCCGAGTTGTTGATTTCCTTGTCACTAGCAGAACTATAAACTCAACAAGAGAGTCTTACAAGTCGAATTTGCATCTTCCATTAGTGTCATTGTTAGAAAAGACATAGCAAGATTTAATCTCGTAAAATGCAACTACTTATTGCCGTTCCGGAGATAACATTCGAAGCACACCTCCCAACAATACAAACTTCTGATAACAGTCGCCCTCTGGATTAAAAGGCAAAACAGCGTCGAGAGGTGTAATGGGCCGTAAACCATATTTCACAGTGTTCCCAAACCCGACCTTTAGACTCTGCTAGTCTGCTGGAAATCGGACTATTACTATTGCCTCTTTGTTTAGAACATCCTTGTTTCGATAAATTACACAAGAAGTGCTTCCTAGTCTGGGAAATAAACAAAACAAAGCTATAGTTCCTTGTCAAAAATTCTTCGAATAAAAAAATTGTCCCGTTATCTACTAATGTTTTGCTTAATTATCTAATTATCTAATTAATTAATCTATAATTATATTTAGAATTGATTAAAATGTTTTATTGAAACAAAGTCTCTCACTGTTGTACTCGTATACGAGGTCGGTTAAATTAGGGCAAAGTTGCGCATCTTTATGCTGAACAGTTATCTGAAAGAAAATTTAATGTAATTTTTAGTTTTTGAATTTTTGGAAAAATACGGAAATTTGTAATTTTCGTTATTATTTATTCAAGCGAAAACTAAAAGACCTTGAGGATTTTAACTAAAACGTTCTTAAGGCACTTTTTTGCAAGGAATATAAATCTGTTATCGTATTTCCAAGGCGTTCTTAATGTCAAAGTTACACTCAACATTGCATTTTCTTATGAACACTGTATTCGATTTCTGTATTTTTTAAAAGTCTTTTGTTCCTGATTACAACAATGTATCACACGATATGATCAAAATTTATATGCTGATCAAAATTAAGAAAAAGCGTTTTTGTCAAGAGTGCTTTGGAAAAAACGGCACCAATTTTAATTAGCAATCTAAATTTTTTAAATTTGGATCTGAAAGTCACATTTCTGTCAAGCTTACCTACTTAAAAACTAAGGTTTTGAAATAGTAACAACGTGATAAACTAGAATTTATTCTTTGCAAAACAAAACAACACAAAGTTATTAAAGGTGCTCGAATGCACCACCTTCAAAATTTAGTTTGTTAATAATTAAAACTGTTGGCGTTTTTTCCAAAGCACCCTCCGCAAAAATGCATTTTCTTAATTTTGATCAGCATATAAAATGTTGTGTGATACACACAAAAAGACTTTTCAAAAATACAGAAATCGGATATAGTGTCCATAAGAAAATCCAAAGTTGAGTGTTGTAACTCTGACATCAAAAACGCCTTGAAAAATACGATGACAGATTTAGATTCCTTGTAAAAAAGTTCCTTAAGAACGTCTAGGTGTTTTAGTTTTCGCTTGAAAAAACAAAAACTAAAATTACAAATTTAGTTTTTTTTTCCAATAATTCAAAAACTAAAAATAACACATTAAATTTTCTTTCAGATAATTGTTTAGAATAAAAATGTGCAACTTTGCTCTAATTTAACCGACCTCGTATCTTGTATAATAACTGCGATCCCCATGATGGAGCTCGAAAAACGGACACCTGTATTACCTTCACGATTCCACTGTTGCAGATTTTAATTTATTGTAGGTACAATAATAACAAATATTTTTATTGTAAAAAATATTAATTCCGGCGAAAATTAAACACGATCCATTATTTCCTTTATTTTTCAACATCCATTTGTTTTTTTTTTTTGTAACATGTTAGTGGATGACCACCAGCGTTACATCCAATTATTGTAACCTAAACAATGATCAAAAGAATCGTATCGCTTAAAAAGAAAAAAATCGATTACTGCGTTCTTTTGTGTGCAGTTTAAAAATACAAATGGTGATTAGGGCGAAATAAAACATGAGTCGCCTTCACAGAAAATGTTGCTTTCAATTTGCTCAGAAGAATGTGGATTAAAAAATCAAAAATTCTTTATGGATCTACTTATTTGGAAAAATTTACAGCAAAGTGCATAATTAATTTCTTTTTACTTTTGTTATGCCAAAACTGTGCATTCAAAAACTAAATCAATGTGGGATAATGATCTTCTACATTGTTGTTATAAAATTTGTTACTGGTTCTCCCCAAACATTGAATACTTTTCCATTTTGTAACTGACAAAACATGTTATAAAAATTTGGCGGCGGGGTTTGTTTGCTGCACTTAGTCCCCAAAAACAGTTTTTTTCCAAAGCCCATATTTTTTTTAATAGGATTTAGGTCTGGATGATAGGGTGGCAGCCGAAGAACAAAATACTTTTTATTCTTCGACACTGTCAAAATTTACGGTTTTTCTCCCGTGTAAGGAAGTTACACTCGTGGTTTAAAAATCCACTCGGTCAAATAAAGAGTCCGATTTACACTCAAACTCGTCGAATAAATAACTATTATTGGATCCTCTTAGTATGGGAATGATAAACAAAAACACGATTAAACCCGTCACACCAAACGTTTATTTAAAACACGACGCGAACATCCGTTGTCGATTGCGAATATGGCGATCCAAAATGACAAGCAAATTGGCGATTTTCTTTGAATATAAATATACAAGTTGTTTCGAAACTCGCATCTAAGAGAAAAACGTCATGTAAGGTAATATACCAGAAACATGAAAAAAAATTTAATTTTTTTTTTCCAAATTATGTGTTTAAAATATGTACTTGTACTTTGTTGGAAAAATAATTTTCTATGTTCCAATGATTGTACCTTTGTTAAGTAATTATGAAAAAATATATACCTACAAGATGATCAATAACATTAAATAGACATAAAAAATATCAAATGTCAAAAAATAAATGTCAAATTTTTTTGACAAATAGAATTTTTTAAACACTTTTTCCATGTTCTTGGAATCGTATCTTACTTGTAATGTTTCTCTAGGGCGCCAGTTCTGATACAGCATGTATATACAGGATGCGCCAGAACTCGCGCCCCAGAGAAAAATGCCATATAAGGTAAGATACCAGGAACATGGAAAAAATGTTAAAAAAATTTTATCTATAAAATTTTCGAAGTTATGAGGGTTTAAAGTTTGCACTTTGACTCTATTTATTTCTGTTGGAAAAATAATTTCCCAAGTTTTTTTGCTATAGGATATTAAAAGAGGAAACAAGGAAGCTGTATCCTAAATTGTAACTCAGTTAAATGTTATTTGTGGCTTTTATTGGCAAACTTTTTGTCCCTTTACTAAATAATTGTAAAAAAACAGATACAAGACCATCAGTGTCATTAAATAGATATAAAAAAATGTCAAATGTCAAAAAATAAACGTCAAAATTTTTGGACAGTTAGAATTTTTTAAACATTTTTTTCATGTTCCTGGTATCTTACCTTACTTGAAAATTTTCTCTGGGGCGCGAGTTCTGGCGCACCCTGTATAATGGGGATTTAATTTCGCAGAACATTAACAATTCAACACTCTTAACCCTATGTTCAATTTAAAAACAAATCATGCCAATGCATTAGAAGCAATTAGAACATATCCAAGCAAGCCTAACGATAATGTTTACGACAAGTAATCCGTGACAATGTATTGACACGAATATTCAAAACAATTTTTATTATTTCAATCAAACGCAGTATCAAGTGGTATCAATGTAGTATTTTTGGTTGCATCTTAGAAGATTTCAAAAATACACCAAAATTGACCCACACTGTCGAATTAGAAAGGTTCTGAAAATGGTTACATTCTCACTTCGAATTTTAGCACTGCTTTGAACGGACCTTTAGTGAAATATGAGATATTTCTTAATGCAGAAGCCATTCGATAATGTGGGCAAATACTCCCCAGCCATCGTCGGGTTCATTAATCGGCGTCGTATTTTAGCCTGAGCCGTGTCAGACAAAAACTGTAAACTAGGTGCCATTTAGGCAGAAACTGCAATTTAAGTAAATAAATAACGCAAAAGTTCCAACTTTGAACATTAAACGGCACACTCGAGCAGACAATATTTAACTTTCGCTACAAGAGTAGACACCAAGGTACCGTTGTCACGTATACGAGCCCACTTAGTTACTTACATCGCACATGTTCTCCCAGGAGGCGCCGGAACGAATGTACGTGGTGCTACGTACAACATAATAACTTCCAGGCTATACAATGTAATAACGCAGCCACAAACCAGCCAAGGTTGACAACCCTTTTTCAATTCTTCACAATTCGATAAAAAATTTCGGTTTGAAATATAAAAGATGTTTGTGGTTGCTTTGTGATTATTTTTCTTTGAAATTTTATATTCATCATGTTTGAAATAATTGCGTATCCAATTAACAGAAAAATCTAATTCATCTTATACCCATATAAAAAAGGTTCAAAGGGAAATATATTCTCCGCATGTAGTCTAATTATCTCAAATCAACAATGTTAATGGGATCTGCCCGTTATAATTAATCACGAAATTGAGCACCGTAATCATCAAAATGTATATCTCATTCAAATCAAAACCAAATCACTCTCTATATTCTACGAGTATTACATAAAATCCAGGTTCTTACGCATGCGAAAATGGTAATGTCGTCGTGGAACAACAATTTAAGTGTATAAATTGAATTTTAGAATACTCGTACATGCAACATTCAATCAAACTTTATTTGTCCGTAGACACAACTGAAAAATTAATTAGTTTTTTACTATTCCCTATTTTCTCATTAAAGCACGAAAAAAAAGTTCTGCACAATTGAATAATTTACCTATCTTTAGGTATGTTAATATTCATGTGCATGTTCCATTATAATTTACAAAGAAAATGTATACGGGTTTTAGAATGATTCAGCTAAACCGTCAGACACTCCTTAACAACTTTATCACTGCGCGACATAATTGTGATGAATTAATTTATAAACTTTGAGAATTCATTTGAAGAAAATTTTGTTATTTTCTTATACAAAAAAATCTCGAGGCTTTGATATGTTGAAATTAAAACCAAACGATGTAAAAGCGATCATCTTGAATACAGGTAAATTAATTGCTTTTTGTTTTCAAAGGTCCACATTTAATAAAATCAATAAACAATTACGAAACCTGGAAGCATCTGTAATTAATTTCTAGAGAGTCCTTCTAAACCGGTGTTTCTTTGAGAATTTAGTAGAGACAAACAATAGATCGCTATTCTTTATGACTTCGATATTACAGTTTTTATACGAGGTGTCCTCCCTTGGCGGCAATAAAAATCGTCAATTCAAAGAGTAACCAATGAGTTGGCTTTATTTCGTCGGAAAATTGTTTTAATAATGCCGTTCGAAAACTCCTATTACGAATCGGTGCGTTTATTGCAAAAATCCCTTGAAGTTTCGCTGGGTGAATGAGTCTCTTAATGAATGAAGACCGGCGTAAAAATTGCGATTATTGGAAAACAGGAGCCACTGACCAAACAATAATTGTTAATATCGTAAATCAACAAAGACCGGGACTTAATAAAGCCGAAGTCATCTCGTTTTATGCCTTCATATAAATTAGTGTCTTTAATAAGAGCGAGGAGGAAGAAATCGTAGAAAAATCAATAAGAGCGTGTGGAAAACGGACTCACCCCCACTAACAATACAAGTTAATTTCATGTCTCCTCCTTCTTCGTAGGGACCTGCCAGCGATGGAACCTCTTTACCTCGTTCGTCGATAATGGTCGGTTTTTGTGGAGGAACTGCAAAAAATTACTAAATTAATGACATGTGAGAGGTCTTATTAGATTGACGGCTAAAAGTCCAACTGGACTGTAATTTATGCATTCGTTAAACATTAATTGAAAAAAGCTCAACTGCAAACTCGCAGAATTCGACCTTAAAAAGTTTTTAATGTGCAATTAATGGCACTTTTATTACAAGACTTTTAACTTAATTCAAAACTGAACAAAAATATCCTCGGTTGACAAGTGAATAATTTCACAATAGACATATTCACTATTTGCGTAACTCTATTGAAATCGGGACACGAGAGGGATAAAACATCTTTGTTTGCTCACATTAAATATCCATTCATCGACTGATTGTATTTTGAATACGCCTGTGTAGGACCCAGTGGTTGGATAAATAATTATTAAATATGAATAAATATTCGAGAGATGTAGGCGAACAAAAGCCTTATGCACACATATTTACCAAAATACACAGTTTATAAAAAATATCTAATATAAAAAACACATTTTTTCTTTGCTTCATAGCCTTAGAACATTTTGTGTTCAGAATAAAATTGACTTCTATTTTGTTTTTTGTGATTTTATTGTGCAAAAAAGTAATCTGTGTACCAAAAGAAAATACATTTTTGGTTGTAATTTAAATTTTGTGTTTGCTGAAGAAATAAGTAAATATTTTTAAAAAAAGTTTGCTTCAAGTTATTTTAATTAGGTATTAAGCGTTTTATGTTTTTTGTTAACGGCTGATTCAAATGTTTGAATTTGTATTGAGGAAATAGCTTATGTCCGTAAAATGAATCCCTCTATTTCATTGCGCGAACACTAAGGACAATAATCCCTTCTCTTTAAACATACAACAACTTGTTAACGAGTTTGAGGGATGTGGAGTTCCTCAAATTCAAGCAATACTTTGCTCGGCATTGCATAATACTCGGAAATAATTTAGGCGGCGAATTAAATACTTCGCAACAATATCAGGAAAGTTAGTTGCAATCACAATTCCACTAAAGCGATTAATACGAGTATGTCCTTGCACTTGCAAAAGGTCTAATTTTATCAACTATACTTCAATGTTAATAGACCATCAAGAATGCCTTGAATACGAAATTCGCAAAAGTGGAACAATTTTGTATCATTTGTTATTTATTAAGTACAAGTTAGGCTGTTTCGATACCGAATGTTTAAACTTTTTAATTGAGCCTTCCGCATGCGATGCTTCATTCGAATATACTCGTACATGCGATTACCCGAAACTTTGAAATTTTCAGGTCTAATAAAATTATACTTGAGTGAGGGGTAATTTCGCCAGAGCGGCTTTCTTATTCGTACCGGGTAAATACAAATAAAATTAGGTGGGCTTATTTTGCTCTGTATTTATTTTTAGATGATTATATTAGAATAAGTATATTGGAAAAATTTATATGTGGAACATCAAGAACGGTTTCCCGGAAAGCTCCGAAAAATTTATTTAAAATTAAAATTACCACAATAATCCGATAACTGAATCTATTTTTTCTATCAAGTATTAATTGACATTGATTGATGACTTTGTAATAAAACTTCATAATGTAAATTTACTTAGTTGTGATTCCTGGGAAAAATGTAAATTATCGATTCACAATAAATTATACCTATTTTAATAAATTATTAAAAGCCAATCACATTTTCTCAGACCACTCGCTAACAAATTATAAATTTATGAAATTTTCTTATAGTTTTTTCTCAAACCCGAGCAAATGTCCAACACTTTAACTTCTCATTCATATTTCATAAGTTTTCTTGCAGCTTGTTTGACATGAAGAGAACAGATTTATTAGCTCGCTCGTTCAAAAATCCACTATAAATTTAGAACTCAATTCAATAATATCCACCCGCACTTCAACTATGACTCCGTAGGTAACTATTCGAGTCTTCTGAGTTGAAGCATATTACCGGTTATCATTTATAAAGGTCGAGGTCAATAGTAGCCAAAAAAGTAAGTGCTGCTTTTGTCAAAAGGAACCTCACCTTACCACAAATATCGCATTGTGATTGAAATATTGTCATTTTTTATTCAGATTCGATGAAATAATGTAGGAGATTGGTTTTCAGTTTGTGGGACATAATCAAATCAGCAACTCCTCGTGAAATTATTGGCGCTTTTTATTAAACTGGGGTTGCGGTTGGTATTGTAGGACTTAATTTTAGGCAGACCTTTTAATTTAAACTCATTCCAAGGGAGTAATATAATCAGGAAAGAATGCATTTTTTGATCAAATAGAAAAATTTTAATTATATATCTCGATTTAATTTTTGGCTAGAATGTTAACTTGTGTAATAATTTAGAATTTGTGAGTCTCCCCAAAACAGAGCAAAATACGCTAAAGGACCTACAGTGAAGCAGTTCTCAAAATCAATATAGGGTTGGCGTCAGGTGGAAAATACGCGCCAAACCAGCTTCTCATACAGATCACAGCTTCCATTACTAAACTTTCATTATTTCTCGTTCGTATTCAAATAACAAACTTCTTTTATAGCTAAAATGGAACTTTACCAAGTTTATATCGTGAAAATATGGAAGCTGTCGAGCGTGATTCAGGAGCCATCACAGCGACGTTTATTTGACTAAAAACTACCTGTGTGATAGATTTATATCCTTGTTGTGACACGAATAATGATGCTATTAAGGTGTGGCCAAATTAATTGAAGCCGGCGCGTTTTTCGACTAATAATAAAGCAGTTGATCTATTCAAGATGATAAAAATTAATTCCGACGATGAGCATTTGCATGTTAGCGATTATTCACAACATGGCGAAACCGTGATGCTCCTTACAAACACCCCTTAAGCATCTGAGTGTTACGTGTTATGCTGTCGAATCTGTTCGTTGTTGTTGAAATCTGTCTCGAATTGTCTGACGGAGCGAAGTAAAGCAGTTCAGGGAGTTCAGAGTCGTTTTTGTTGAGACTGACGTACCGATCTAGGTTTCGGTGATGAAGAAGGAAACTGTGTGTCGAATTGTTTATGCCAATGTTTAGCTCGATGTAAAAAAAGGTAAAATTTGCTGTTCTGTAAGAAAGATAGTGGCGTCTATATTACCGTAATTCCTAACAGCGCCGACCTTATTTGACTTGATCATATCTGATGTTTTATAATATTTTAAATATAGTATATACAGAGTGTAACGAAAAAATGGGGACAAAGTCAAACTGAGATTTCATAGGTCAAAATAAAGCGATTTAACCCAACTTACCTTTATACCAAGTTTCGTTTTTCTTTAATAACTTTTTAATGAATTAATCGATTTTGTTGAAATTTGCTACAGGCAATTTGATACCAAAACCACATGTTTTGGTGCTATTTTTTGTATTTTAATATTTATACAGAGTAGTTATAAATGATTTTCATCTAGCCAGCTTTGGAATTTTTTTGCATGTTACTTTATTTGTGTCGCTCTACTTTTTTTGAAAGCTCTAGTTCTGTCATTAGTGTCACTTATTAATTAATAATAAATTGTGGTTAATTAAACTTTTATTGTTTTAACTTATTACCAATAAGAATTGATAATAATGTATACTTTGAAGTCTATTTTCGAAGTAGACGCTTAGTAAACGGCGATTTTTTAATTTTGAGTTGAAACAAGTAGGTACCCCTTTTTCGTAAAGCGGCATTTTTTATTTTACATGGAAAATTTACAGCTGGCTAGATGAAAATCGTTTATAACCACTCTGTACATACAGGGTGATGCTTAGCTAAAAGTCTTCTATCACCATTCGAGAGTTGGTCCGACATTTTTAAATCACTCTGTATATATTATTGTAAACTACTTACTTATTAACAACTTAAGCCATATTTTTATTATACGTGATCCGAGTATCGTAATTCTTTTTTATTCAAAAAGTACATTATTGTTAGACAATTTTTGTATCTTATAAAATTTTCGTATGGGCCTTGGTTTAAGAGAAAAAAATAATTTAAGTAGATCTGTTAAAAGTTTAAACGTTGGCCATTTATTATTATTGTGTTGAAAATTGTATAAAAAAAAATAGGTTTTAGTGTCTTTATGTATGTCTGTGTTAGTTAACAATAATGTAATTAATTATTAATTTAAAATAAAAAAATCATAATTTCATTGGTGTCCTTTAACTTTTAGACGGTGGAACTTGGTAGAGAAGTAAGTTGGGTTAAATTGCTTTAATTAGACCTAAATATCTCATGTCACTCTTTGTCCCCATCTTTTCGTTACATCCTGTATAAAATAATTTTAATTAAATTGTCCGTCGAAGGATTTGTAACTCAGATATTAATTACATTGGTCGAAATGATGATAAAGGAATGACCTTGAACCTGTCACTGATGAGGTGTTTTATATCTTAAGTAAACCAAATAACGGATCGAAGAACTGACATAGGTAAAAGTAATCAAATTAATTTACCATAACTTTTATTTATTCATATTATATTTTTGTTAGATAAGCTTTTTTCGCCATATTGGTTAGAAAAGGAGCATTTCCCTCGGCTATATATACAAAGAACAATTTTTGTAAGCCCCTATCTTGCAGTATTCATAAAGTTAGGAAATTTCCACGTCTCTCGATATTGTATCGAAAATTCCAAAATAACTAAGCATTGATACTCTCAGCTCACCTATAACTGCCAGCTTTACTCTCAAGTTCTTCGTCGGCGATCGTAAATAATCGATGCGACATCGATACTCCCCCTCGTCTTTTTCATTGATGTTGTCTATGTTCAACGTGGCAGGATCTGTCATTGTCCTGAAAAAAGCTCGCTGGCCCAAATTGCTATCCTGCCAATGCTTCGGCGTCGTTTTGTACGGTCCTCTCGTGTCGTAACTGTAACACAGATAAAATTGGTGCTAAATCAAATTTGCTTTATAAACTTCACTGCCGACATAAATAAGCTAAGGCGTTTTTCGGCTTTATCATCACAAAAATTTGCCACTTTTAGCAATATTTCGTAAATTTACTAAAAGGGTTATAAAAAAGTAATCACAAGTAAAGGTTATTATTAATTCTAAGGCTAGCGTTCAACTTTTGGGCAGTTTAAGCGCTAAGGTATCAGTTTATAGCGGTTCGTTCCATTTTCTATCTTTCACTGATAAAATGCGAAACGTAACTTACCAGCGAATAGAAAATACTTTATCGTTTGGGTTTTATAAATTGAATCTTAAATCAATAGCCATTTTATGTTGTAGTAAGCCATTATGTATCCCTTTCGAAAACTGGAAGCGGTTTGTTTGTTTAAAGTGTATATTGACGAAAAAGCACACAACGCTGAAATTTAATAAATTGCCCCTATAACAAATAACCAAACCATCGCTCATGCAAATGTCAAACAGTGCAAAATTTCCAATCTTGTACAAATACGTTGATGGCGAAATATTTCGGATTTGTGAAACTCTGAGAAATAGCTCAAATCTTTTCTTTTGAAAGTAATTGTCCGAGCAGTGCTTGGAAATACCATTAAATACAACAGCCGCTTCTAAATTAATTTATCTGCTACAGAAACGATTAAGCGTAACGAATTTATGCAGAGTCCGGAAAGACCTTACAGAAATTATGTCCATAAAACATAATGAAATTAATAATCTCGAATGCAGCAACTTACTGAACTGAGAAATCACTTAATTTGAAACATATTTCGCTTGGTGAATGGATGAGGGTTTTTGCTGCGTCCCTCGATCCTTTTGTACGGTTTCAATTACACTTCGTTCAAGCTAACTACCTGAAAAGGTGGATCTATTCGTAATACCCCGGTAATGTAAATTTCAATCATTAAGAGTCGCTTGAATGAAAGGTTTTTATAGTTTCGGCGAAATTATTTTTTTTTAGACTAATTAGCTGAATTTCCTTTAAAGTGGATTTAAAATAACGTCGATGGGCTTAAGAGAAATTCAATTCCACCATCACGATAATCGAAACTACGTAAAATTAAAATGCGCTGGAAAATAATTACCAGTAATCTCCAACGGTTAAGTGGAAGTTTCACCGCAACGAGTTGAGCTAAGTTTTCTGTTGAAAAAGTTACAGAAATATCAATATTGGTTCTACTTAAGAAATTTCTTAGAAACTTCTTCACAACCACACATTGCTTTACTTGTGGCAAAGTCAATTATGCTGGTAAAATTGATTTCATTTTTACCCGATTTCTAAGACTATAATCTTATTAATAAACAGCGGAAACCGCTTGAAACCATACATCTGCCACATATACAATATTAATTATGTACTAGAATTGTCATAATTGTCAAAATAACAAATGTAATACAATAAACAACAAAATTATCATTTAGGCCACTTGGATACATTTAATCTCTTCAGAAACAATGTTTCTGGCATCTTTATTCCATTTTCAATTTTTATTTGTTTCTAAAGCTAGAACAAATTAAATGAGGTTATAGCACATGTCCAGTTGAGATAATAGGTATAACTAAGTAATACCTATATAAAAATGTTTACTTATCAGTTATCTCCCAATCACTATAAATAAAATGAGTAAAAGAGAATGGTGAAAATGTGTAATAATTTTTGTATATTTCATGTAATATAATCGAACATGCAATATATGATTTCACCAACAAATGTCATCTAGTATATGTTCTATAAAAATCTAATCATTGTTTTTGACATCTAAAAGTATCTGTCTTGACAGAGTTTTTTAAAAATTCTGTATATTTGATTCAAAAATGAAAAATGGAGGGTGTGAATGCTGTTAAAAAAAGCAAACTGTTGTAAAACCAATCGACGTTCGGTACGGTCACTTGAAAGCATCTTTGAACTGGCAATCCCTGTGAAATAACAATCGCAAACATGCCTCCAGTTCCGAACTTCATTCTGCCAAGTTCTGTAATGTGGCCGTAATGTAACATATAAAAGTAAACGGCTGCGAGTCTGGAAGAAAGCAATAATCTACACGCGGCATCTCCCATTATAAGCGGTTATAAGGCCGAATCGGAAGAACCGTTTCGCATTGCCAACTTGCCAAATAAACAAACTGCCATTAGTTAGCGAGAGAGGGAATCCGTCGGCAAGAAGTAGTGATAACGGCCGAATTATGCCGTGGCAGAAACACCAGCAAGAACAAGTCCAAACAAACGTACAGACTGCATCCCTGTTGGTAATCACCATTATGCAAATACCGCACGATTTGCATATTTTAGGAACATTTTAAAGAAGTTAATTCTAAGGAGACGATAATAGCGCAGACCGTGCCGGCAAGATTGAACGGACTCTGGCAATGACAGCTCGACTTTGCCGACTCCTCAAAATGATATCCTAATTTGCAATCAACAAATCCAATCTGCATGTTATGCGAAGCATCATCATCCCTAGAGTACCACCGCTATTATAGTCCAATGCAGAAATATTTCTTACCTTGTCACAATTAATATAACTAGATCTATGATCTGTCGTTTTATTGTCTTGCGTTAGTTTGTAAGACACAAACATATTTTTTAAAAGTATTAATAGAAGTCAAATTTAAAAAAAAAAACATCTCCAGAATATCAAGTTAACGCCTTTATTAATGTAACTATTTAAAGTTTTTGTTAGTTTGAGAATGAGATCTGAGTTGACCACATTACTTCTGCTATTAGTTAATATTTTTCAAATACAAATGTGAAACTGTACAGAAACTTTTAAAATGTTGGATTTCATGCTAAGTTCAAATTTGCATTCCCTCTGCACTGACACCAAATATGGGGCAAACTTCTAGTGGTATTTTCCCCTACTGGCCAAAGTTTGTACATGTATTGCCTTGTCCGAACTGGACTATTAATGGACTGCAATATCCGTCTTGTCCCTGTCCCAGATTTACTCTTAAGCTGAAGAAAATCCAAAGTTTTAATATTCACCCTACATCAAATATCGGCCATTCCCCTTTTGTGTCAACATAATTTTGTTATTATTTATTCCTCTCCCAAATTACATTACAACTGCGTGTTACAAAAGATAACATGTTACATGCACAACGAAATTTCCGCTGACTTGATTAAATATAAATCCGTGGTCATAATGGAGGTTGTAAGAGGTTACCCTTTTGCAGATACGACACTTTGCGATAGTTTTGATTTAGATTAAAGTATGATAAAACTAATTTGTCAAAAGCAGTACTTATCTCGGGTAAATATTTATTTTATTAAATGTAACCGAATCAAAATGGGGAAAGTGGATGAGCAAAATAGCATTTGTCATAATCGATTGTGATGAGAAACAGAACAACAAACGGGCACTTGCTAAAATACCAACGGGATTTACAATACATCTATTCAGAATGGTCTGTCTTTGTTGATAGATAGGAATGTTGAGGAAGCGAAGCAATCAGGACCCTCTCAGGAATGTCATTCATTTCATTAGACAAAGCTCCAAACTGATTTAAATAACTCTTATTATTCAATAAACACAATTAAGTGAAGCGAATGCAATAAATATTTACGGGAAATTTATTTTTGTAATAAATGTAGTAAACCAAATGAAAATATTAAATCTCCGCTTCTTATTCAATTTATTATTTTATTTATGTCAAATTGGCTGCGACTGTAATCTTCCGAAATACTTAGAAAACTAAATAAAAAGAATGAATAGACTTTGAAGATTCTTTCAAAGTGGCCAACTTCTGTTTCTAATTTTATGGATTTCCGAAATTACTTAGTAATTAAATTTTGTTTTAAAGCTTATTGCTTGAAACTTTGAAATTGAATCACTAGCGAACAGGGTGTCATTTCTGAAATTTGATTTTATTCTCAAGTAAATATGCCTTGTACAGATATCTTTCAGAAGACCACTTTTAGATATTTTTAAACTTACCTAGCAAGAAAATTACACATTGTTCAAACGTAAATAGCTTGATTAAAGGTGGTTTCCTTAAGTAAAAAAGCTCGTGATTTATAGACTCTAGACCACTTCTTCTAAGTAATATGAAAATTAAGTTGAACATTTTCCCACCCAATATCTTTTCAAAAGCGGATGCTTTTTCTCTGCACTTTACTGCACCATTAATTTTGATTGCAACTTCAATGATTTTAGCTTTCGTAACTTTTAAACTCTATCATATCAAATATACAGTCCGAAAGACGCATATACTTGACGACTGCATTTCAGATATTGCACAGTTTTACATCTAAAGTACAAGTTACAGATATAAGTATGAAAACTAATCTATGTGTGTACAAAAAATTTAAAATGTTCCAACGTTATCAGTGACATTTTTTTGTATTAGATTATATCGTAATTACCCACAACATTAAATTGTCATTTGTTAGAGAAAACAATGTCCCCAGGTTAATAAATATTCTCTTGTGGTTTTACCACCAGATTCCTATCTACAATATATTTTATTAATCAAACGCGGCCTAAAGTTTTAAAATTTTTAAGAGAAATTAAAAATATTAAATTATTCAAATTTCACGTGCAGTACTGTAGTTACACATGTTTTTTAATAATTTATGAAATACATGTGACTAAACAGAAAATATAGTCTATCCTTCCATTTCTTGAATGACGTTTAAAGTAATATTTAAAAATTTATTGGTAAATAAGAATTCATTGGCAGAGTTGAGATAACGTATAACAGAATGAAGGATTGATTTACTATTGACAACAGTTATTTGCATATTTGCATTTTGTCAGTAGTGATTTATATCATCAATGCAGGTTGCACCCTGATCTCTCTGATCTCTGATTCATTTTATCAGACCTTATGATGCAAAAGCCCGTTTGTCAACGCGAATGATCTGAAGCACAGCCGAATAGTCACAAACGCGTGCAGAGATGAGACAGGGAGTATCAGCACTGTCGCTGACCACCCGATTGATTTAATGCGTTGTATGTAAAAT